GCAACTCAGCATGTGCAACTCAGCATGTGCAACTCAGCATGTGCAACTCAGCATGTGTCAGCACTCAGCATGTGCAACTCAGCATGTGCAACTCAGCATGTGCAACTCAGCATGTGCAACTCAGCATGTTGCAACTCAGCATGTGCAACTCAGCATGTGCACTCAGCATGTGCAACTCAGCATGAGCATGTGCAACTCAGCATGTGCAAGCTCGCATGTGCAACTCAGCATGTGCAACTCAGCATGTGCAACTCAGCATGTGCAACTCAGCATGTGCGACTCAGCATGTGCAACTCAGCATGTGCAACTCAGCATGTGCAACTCAGCATGTGCAACTCAGCATGTGCAACTCAGCATGTGCAACTCAGCATGTGCAACTCAGCATGTGCAACTCAGCATGTGCAACTCAGCATGTGCAACTCGCATGTGCAACTCAGCATGTGCAACTCAGCATGTGCAACTCAGCATGTGCAACTCAGCATGTGCAACTCAGCATGTGCGACTCAGCATGTGCAACTCAGCATGTGCAACTCAGCATGTGCAACACCAACTCAGCATGTGCAACTCAGCATGTGCAACTCAGCATGTGCAACTCAATTCGACTCAGCATGTGCAACTCAGCATGTGCACTCAGCATGTGCAACTCAGCATGTGCAACTCAGCATGTGCAACTCAGCATGTGCAACTCAGCATGTGCAACTCAGCATGTGCAACTCAGCATGTGCAACTCAGCATGGCAACTCAGCATGTGCAACTCAGCATGTGCAACTCAGCATGTGCAAAGCATGCTCAGCATGTGCAACTCGCATGTGCAACTCAGCATGTGCAACTCAGCATGTGCAACTCAGCATGTGAACTCAGCATGTGCAACTCAGCATGTGCAAACTCAGCATGTGCAACTCAGCATGTGCAAACTTCAGCATGTGCAACTCAGCAATGTGCAACTCAGCATGTGCAACTCAGCATGTGCAACTCAGCATGTGCAACTCAGCATGTGCAACTCAGGGCATGTTCAAGCTCAGCATGTGCAACTCAGCTGTGCAACTCAGCATGTGCAACTCAGCATGTGCAAACTCAGCATGTGCGACTCAGCATGTGCGACTCAGCATGTGCAACTCAGCATGTGCAACTCAGCATGTGCAACTCAGCATGTGCGACTCAGCATGTGCAACTTCAGCATGTGCAACTCAGCATGTGCAACTCAGCATGTGCAACTCAGCATTGTGCAACTCAGCATGTTGCGACTCAGCATGTGCAACTCAGCATGTGCAACTCAGCATGTGCAACTCAGCATGTGCAACTCAGCATGTGCAACTCAGCTGTGTGCAACTCAGCATGTGCGACTCAGCATGTGCAACTCAGCATGTGCAACTCAGCATGTGCAACTCAGCATGTGAACTCAGCATGTGCAACTCAGCATGTGCGACTCAGCATGTGCAACTCAGCATGTGCGACTCAGCATGTGCAACTCAGCATGTGCAACTCAGCATGTGCAACTCAGCATGTGCAACTCAGCATGTGCAACTCAGCATGTGCAACTCAGCATGTGCAACTCAGCATGTGCAACTCAGCATGTGCAACTCAGCATGTGCAACTCAGCATGTGCAACTCAGCATGTGCGACTCAGCATGTGCAACTCAGCATGTGCAACTCAGCATGTGCAACTCAGCATGTGCAACTCAGCATGTGCAACTCAGCATGTGCAACTCAGCATGTGCAACTCAGCATGTGCAACTCAGCATGTGCAACTCAGCATGTGCAACTCAGCATGTGCAACTCAGCATGTGCAACTCAGCATGTGCAACTCAGCATGTGCAACTCAGCATGTGCAACTCAGCATGTGCAACTCAGCATGTGCGACTCAGCATGTGCAACTCAGCATGTGCAACTCAGCATGTGCAACTCAGCATGTGCAACTCAGCATGTGCAACTCAGCATGTGCAACTCAGCATGTGCAACTCAGCATGTGCAACTCAGCATGTGCAACTCAGCATGTGCAACTCAGCATGTGCAACTCAGCATGTGCAACTCAGCATGTGCGACTCAGCATGTGCGACTCAGCATGTGCAACTCAGCATGTGCAACTCAGCATGTGCACTCAGCATGTGCAACTCGCGCAACTCAGCATGTGCAACTCAGCACGTGCAACTCAAGCACGTGCGACTCACTCCTTAACAGCCAGAGGGTGTGCCATGGCCTTCGCAGTCCCGTGCACGCGTCAGCTGTGCGGCCGAACACCAGCACGCCACTGGCTGGCCTGTCTATGCGATGCGCGGGAAGAGAGGGCGGTCTGCATGAGCATTGGGAGAGGGGTAGGGCGGAAGGGCGGGGAAGGAAGGGCAGGGAAGGGCAGGCAGGGCAGGAAGGGCAGGGCAGGGAAGGGAGGGGGTGGGGGTGGGAGGAACGGAGGCATCAATGCTGCTTCTGCTGTGCGGCCAAGCACCAGCACGCCACTGGCTGGCCGGTCGATACGATACGTGGGTAAGAGGGGAGAGCCTGCCGAGAGGCCGGTTGAACAAGAGTGGGTTGGGGGAGGGAGGACACATCAATACCGCCTCTGCCGTGCGGCGGAACACCAGCAAGCCACTGGCTGGTCGGTCTATGCGATGCGTGGGGACGAGAGGGCGGTCTGCGATTGACGGGAGTGAAACGGTGTTGAGGGGAGTGGGAGAAAGTGAGGGAAGGAGGCATCAACACTGGCTCTGCCGTCCAGCCGAACGTCACTACCCCACTAGCTGATCGGACAATGCGATTGGCTGAGACAAGGGGAGAGCCTGCTTGTTGGAAGGGGATAGGGGGCGGGGAGACACCAATGCCACCTCTGCTGTGCTGCTGAACACCAGCACGCCACTGGCCGTCGGCCTATGCGATGCGCGGGGACGAGGGGAGAGCCTGCTAGGGAAGGGCAGGGAAAGGGAGTGAGGGAGATCGGGTTAGGTTGATGAGTGTGAGGGTTGAAACACAAGCGCGCCACTGGCCAGTCGGCCTATGTGATCGGGGACGTTGTCATGGAAGAGTAGCAGCAGCGTAGGAAGGTCGGGGATAAAAGACGACTTTTGAGGCGCCTCAAAAGGCCAGTCGGCCTATTTGATGGGCGAGGAAGTGGGGAGGGTCCGTTGTGGGAGGTGTGATAGTACTTTCGTTTTGAGGCGTCTCAAAACGGCCGGTCGGCCTAATTCACGGGCTGGGAAGAGGGGAGGGTCTGTTGTGGGAGGGAGGGCAAGGAAGGGAAGGGGGGAGGGGTTTGGGGTGTTGAGATGGGTGGGTGGGTAAGGTAACACCAGCACTGCCGCTGCTGAGCCCTGAGTTCGCTCCCCTGCGTTTCAAGGCGTCTCCTCCTCCTCCTCCCCTTACCTGTCAACCGTACCTAGCCCCAGCTGCCGTACCTAGCCCCAGCTGCTGTTCCACCATGTCCTTCACAAAGAATCGTCGCGTTCGCTCCTCCCGGGGCGCTTCACGAGACGCGTGCACCTGGGAGAGGGAGAGGGAGAAATAGAGGGAGTAAGAGAGTTGTTTAGGGGAGGGGAGGGGGGGGGAGGAGGGGGGGGGTCAGGAGCAGGGTGGTTACCACAAGGATCGGTACACTCGCTCCTCCCAAGGCGCTTCACATGGAGGATGAAAGAGGCTGGGAGTTATTCGAGGAAAGATTGCTCGGAAGGGGTTCGGGGTTGTTTACAAGGGGAAAGATTCGGATTGCATGATTCGGCCCCATGATTCCCGGAGGTTGCTTTTGAGTCTGACTCAAAACAAGGGGGAAAGATTAGGAATGCATGATTCGGCCTACCATGATTCCTTTCGAGGCGCCTGAAAAGATTCGGATTGCATGATTTGGCCTACCGATATAAGGTTGGTTTTGAGACGTCTCAAAACCAACCTAATATGATTTGGCCTACCATGATTCCCGGAGGTTTGTTGACGGCGACCACGTCTTCGTTTTCAAACACCACTTGGATCGTTGGAGCATCCCACCCAGCCACGTGGTTACCAGGTGCCGAACCATGGCCGGAACCTGACCTCCCAGGTTCGGCACCCAGCCTCGGTGAAGCGTCCCGAGCCGAATTATCTGGTCTAGCACATGCCGAAGCGGATTTTATCCGCTCATTGGTCAACTGGCTCGGAACAGGTTCGGATGCGAGGCTTGCTGATTGAGGGGCTGCAGGTTCCGAGCCTGCACGGCAGTAGGTTCGGCTTCGGACCGAACTCCGAGAATGCGTATAAGAGGAGCTTTCCCGAAGCGACGTGAACAGTAGTGATCCTACGCGCACCGCTCTAAGAGTTACCGCCATTGATTCCCGTGCCGAACAAGCCGCGTCTCAGTTGCCGCGTTCACGATCATTCCTACACTGGCTCGTGTAACTCAGTCGCCGCCGCGGCGCGTATGGGCCGTGAATGACCGAGGGGCGGAACGGAGGATTGGCTGGGATAGGCGTTTTCCGCCTTTGGCGAATATGGCGTGTCTGTTCAATAATCGCATTGGATTGCCGCGCAAAAAATCATTGATATTGTCCAGGAAACAGGCTGAGGAAGGATTCCTCCTGGCTTTGTTACATGCCAACTTAACGGACACAGCTGTGATCCCTGACTCAAACTGGCGAACCCCGGGTTTGCCGAACAGAGCTTGAAGTGTCGAGATGCACGCGACCACACGAAAGTTACCAAAACATATCGAGATTCCCTCACCCAACGCGACGAGCTAATCAGTAAGGGACTTTTCGCGAGCCTCGGTTATGATGAACGAAACAAGTGATTGTTCGCGAAACCAGCACTTTTTGAACTTCTGATGCCCCCGTGCCAAGTGCTGTTCCCCAGCGCACTGGGATTCCAAATCGCGTTCAGTGCAAATGCGCCCGAACGGTTATCCCTGCCACAAACCTGGATTGAAGTCGTTGACAAAATACGCCCCTACATGTCTCTTTCTCCCTTCATACGTCTTATTAGGAATCGACAGGTGGCTGTATAATTACTAACCGAAGCAACTTCTTATACACCCTTATTCGCCCTTAATTTGTGTCCTTTCTTACTCGAGCAACACTTGCGCCTTCCCTCAGGCGATTCCCGTCCGTTCAACTCCTCTGCGTTCCCCGCCGTCCGATTCTTGCCGAAGCGAGTCTTCCGTTCCTCCGCCCCGCATTTCGCGGCGGCGCGGCTGCAAGCGATGTTCTCCCCGTCGGGGCTCCCTAGTCGAAGCGCCATTTTGCTCCGCACTCCATCCCCGTTACACGCTGCCTCGCAGCTCGTGCTTTCGTCCCGTTTGCCCGCCGCACAGGCCAGGCCAAATCTCTCATTTACCAGGAGAACCAATAACCGGGGTAATTCCTCGGTTACCCGCAGAATCACAGCCATGGCTTCTGCTGCTCCCACGACAATCACTTCTGGAGGGAATCTCGAGGGTAATTTACCCTTGTTGAAAGGGCCCGTTCAAATAAGCGGGCTGAAGGAGCTTGTCGAGACAGGCAAGTACGAGGTGAGGGCAGCGAGGGAGTGCGGGGGGGGGAGCGCTGGGAGGGATGACGGTAGAGGTGAGGGTAGCGAGGGAGTGCGGGGGGGGGAGAGCAGGGAAGCTTACAAGAGTTTCAGACATCTCAGAACTCGTTTTTTTTTTTTTTTTTTTTTTTTTTTTTTGAAGGCTGAAGGAGCTTGTCGGGGCAGGCAAGTACGAGGTGAGGTGAGGGCAGTGCGGTGCGGGGATGAAGGCGTATCCGCAAGCAGGGAGGCCTTCATCCTCTGCAAGTTATTAATTCCTGTTTTTACTCCACTCTCGCCCACCTCCTCATCCCATTCTGCTCCTCCCCACCCGTGCCGCTGCCGCCTGTTTCCCAAGGCGTGGATTCTGGACCAGTTTGGCGTGCTGCACGATGGCAAGAAGGCGTATCCCGAAGCCATTGAAGCGTGTGAGTGGGGCTGCGGGCTGTGGGCTGCGGGCTGTGGGCTGTGGGCTGTGGGCTGTGGGCTGTGGGCTGTGGGCTGCGGGCTGCGGGCTGTGGGCTGTGGGCTGTGGGCTGTGGGCTGTGGGCTGTGGCTGTGGGCTGCGGGCTGCGGGCTGTGGGCTGCGGGCTGTGGGCTGTGGGCTGTGGGCTGTGGGCTGTGGGCTGCGGGCTGCGGGCTGTGGGCTGCGGGCTGTGGGCTGTGGGCTGTGGGCTGCGGGCTGCGGGCTGCGGGCTGCGGGCTGCGGGCTGGGGGCTGTGGGCTGCGGGCTGCGGGCTGCGGGCTGCGGGCTGTGGGCTGGGGGCTGGGGCTGCGGCTGTGGGCTGGGGGCTGCGGGCTGTGGGCTGGGGCTGCGGGCTGCGGGCTGGGGGCTGGGGGCTGGGAGCTGCGGGCTGTGGGACCTTCCATATGCTGCCTTGATGTCGGGTTGTGCATTCCCTACTTGCATGTTAGTAACCCCTGATAATGTTGCAGGGTGTTTTTGAGAATTCTCAAAAATACCCGGATAATGTTGCCGGGTATTTTGAGGCGCCTCAAAACTATTTTTGAGAATTCTCAAAAATACCCTGATAATGTTGTGCCACACCTCTTCGCCTCGTTAGCTCTCAAAGTACTTCTGCTTGGTACTTATTTGCTAACCCACTCCTGCCCGACCCTCTTATGCCCCTCCCAAACTTCCTTGCGCTAGGCATTTTTTTAGAATTCACAAAAACCTATCACTTCCTTGTGCCTTCTGCCATCTCATCCACCAATACTTCCATATACCCATCCCTATTGTTATCCCTGTTCCTATCGCTATCCTTCTCCGGGCCAATCGCAGTGCGCCAGCTGGCAGCATCAGGTGCCAAGGTGGTGCTTCTCAGCAACTCCTCTCGCAGAGTGGACGTGGCTTCTAAGAAGCTTCCCTCGCTGGGCTTCGACCCGTCGCTCTTCTGTGGAATTGTGACAAGCGGGGAGATCACGCACCGGCATTTGATAGAGTGAGAGAGAGAGAGAGAGGAACGTAACTCTCCGCAATTGGGGAGTGAGAGAGAGCACGTCTCTGTTCTGTGGGATTGTGACAAGCGGGGAGATCACCCACCGGGATTTGATAGAGTGAGAGAGAAACTTTGTCCCAGACGAAGGCAGTAAGCTAATGAAGTCTGGTGGGACGTCTCTGTTCAGTGGGATGGTGAAGATCCCGCATGGGGAGATGACTTTTGAGTCGACTCAAAAGTCATCCCGCATGGGGAGATCACGCACCGGCACTTGATGGAGTGAGTGAGTAGCTGTTGGGGTGAGTGGGCTCGTTTTGAGGTTGGGCTTTGGGTTTGGAGCTTGGACATCTTAAAACACCCCCCAACTGGTGCCTCATTTCTGTTTCACGTGCCTTCCCCCGCTGCTGCGCTTTCACCCGTTCCTGTTCCGTGGGATCGTGACGAGTGGGGAGATGACACGTCAGCATTTGATGGAGTGAGTGAGAGAGAGGGTAGCTGTTGGTAGGGGTGAGTGAGCATTTGAGAGAGGAAGAAGAATGCGATGGGAGAGGCGGGAGGATCAGATCCCAAGGGTAAAAGGGAGCGCTGGAGAGATCATGGGGAGCGCTGGAGAGATCATGGGGAGCGCTGGAGAGACCATGCACAGGGCACTTGATAGAGTGAGTAAGAAGTGCTAGTAGAAACTTCATCTCCCCCTCCCATCTCCCCTCCCTCCCTCCCTCATCCCCCTCCCATCTTCCCCCCTACCACCCTCCAGTCGCTCCCTGGGCCCCTTTTTCGAGACTCTCGGGTCAAAGTGCCTCCACTTCACGTGGGCTGCTAGGGGCGCTGTCTCCCTGGAGGTAGGGTTACCATAGGGTTACTACAGGGACTTCAATCGGGTTACCATAGGGTTAAGGTGGTAGGGGCAACCGTGACTGCAATACTTGGCTCCAGTCACTGGTATTAAGCAGGGATCAGACTTGCTTCATTTCACCTGGCCTGCCAGATAGGTAGGTGGGGCAATAAATGGTTACAGCGTTACCGCATCATCTTATCATGGGGTTGCATCTATTCCCTTCACCTGGGCGGTCAGGGGTGCAAGGCTGTTGGGCTACTGGAGGTGTCACTAGAGGTGTCACTAGAGGTGTCACTAGAGGTGTCACTAGAGGTGTTACTGGAGGTGTCACTAGAGGTGTCACTGGAGGTGTCGTTGAGGTGTCACTAGAGGTGTTACTGGAGGTGTCACTAGAGGTGTCGCTAGAGGTGTCACTAGAGGTGTCGCTAGAGGTTTCACTGGAGGTGTCACTAGAGGTGTCACTAGAGGTGTCACTAGAGGTGTCGCTAGAGGTGTCACTAGAGGTGTCACTAGAGGTAAGTTAGGCCGCCGTCCGGCAGGTGCTTACAAGGCTGTTCCACTCTCCTCCCTGCCTAGGCACAGGGTTTGGGGACACCCGAAGGAGCTGAATTAATCTGTGGTTAAGTAGTTTAGTTTTGAGACGTCTCAAAACTGCCCAGGCGCAGGGTTTGGGGATACCAGAAGGAGCAGACTTAATTTTGAGGCGCCTCAAAACCGCGTGATAGGAGTCCAGTTTTGAGGAACCTCAAAACTAGACTCCCCTGCCTAGGTGCAGGATTTGGTTTCACCACAAGGAGCAGACTTAATTCTCGCTCGCCCATGGCACAGGGGCAGTGGGGCTCGCCCAGGGAGCATTCATTCCTGTTGCCTCCCCTTCTTCCCTCTACCCTGCTCTCCCACCTCCAGGGTTTGGGTCTGCAAGTTGTGGCGGCACCAGAGGAAACCGATTCCATCCGTGCCCCGGGCACAGAGGCAGTGGGGCTTGCACAGTGGCCACTGCAGTACTCACCCTTTCCTCCCCCCCCCTGCTCTGCTCCTGTACCTCCCATCTTCCTCGTCCAGGGTTTGGGTCTGCAAGTTGTGGAGGCACCAGAGGAAGCCGATTTTATTCTCGCGCACGGCACAGAGGCAGTGGGGCTCGCACAGGGACCGAACACCACTGGGGGAACAAGCACCTCACAGGTGCACACAGAAGAGGACAAACCTGCCCGCCCGGCCTCGCTGGATGAGCTGGCGGAGCTGATGAGACTGGCGGCAGAGGAGGGGCGGCGGAGGGGCAGGATGATCCCGATGGTGGTGGCCAACCCTGATATAGTCACGGTGGAAGAGAGGGCTTTAAGGGTCATGCCTGGGACACTGGCACGGCAGTATGAGGAGATGGGGGGAGTGGTCAAGTGCATGGGCAAGCCAGACCCGGTGAGTTGTTGTTGTGAGTCGGATATGGAGGCTCCTCTCAAGACGTGATGTTCCGGCAGTGTGATGTGAGATTCGTTTTGAGTGGACTCAAAATCATATCACACAAACCTGATGTTCTGGGTTTGTGGAGTGGAGGGCGAGAGGAGGAGGGGCAGGGTGATTCTGATGATGGGGTGAACGGGTTGGGGAGAGGACATCCGTAGCAACCTTGTCACACTAGCAACCTTGTCACACTAGCAACCTTGTCACACTAGCAAACTTGTCACACTAGCAACCTTGTCACACTAGCAACCTTGTCACACTAGCAACCTTCTCACACTAGCAACCTTCTCACACTAGCAACCTTGTCACACTAGCAACCTTGTCACACTAGCAACCTTGTCACACTAGCAACCTTGTCACACTAGCAACCTTGTCACACTAGCAACCTTCTCACACTAGCAACCTTGTCACACTAGCAACCTTGTCACACTAGCAACCTTGTCACACTAGCAAACTTGCCACACTAGCAACCTTGTTGCACTAGCAACCTTGTCACACTAGCAACCTTGTCACACTAGCAACCTTCTCACACTAGCAACCTTCTCACACTAGCAACCTTGTCACACTAGCAACCTTGTCACACTAGCAACCTTGTCACACTAGCAAGCTTGCCACACTAGCAACCTTGTTGCACTAGCAACCTTGTCACACTAGCAACCTTGCCACACTAGCAACCTTGTTTTCTCGAGATCTGCACTTCTTTATTCCATTCGAACACATCTACGTTATTCTTTCCGGATCTCCATCACCCCACTCAGATTTCTTTCCGGGCAGCCCAGCAGCTGACCGGGATCCCTCCTGACAGCACGATTATGGTCGGCGACTCGCTCCACCACGACATTCTAGGGGCGGCATCTTTTGGCATTGACTGCGTGTTTGTGGCGGGGGGGATACATGCAGAGCAACTGGGGGTGGCACCTGCAACTGGGGGAGGGGAAGGCGAAGGGGAAGGGGAAGGGGAAGGGGGAGGGAGAGGAGGAAAGGTGGCGGGGAGACACGGAGATGTGGTAGAGGGAGAGGTGGATATGGGGAAGCTGAGAGAATTGTTGGAAGAGATAGGTGCAAACCCTTCATATGTCCTGCCTTATTTCAAGTGGTAGCTCAATAGTGCTCTTCTATGTTTGCTGCTATCTTTTGTGATATAATTGATACTTCGCATTTCTGTAAGTCGATCAGGTGTAGTTAGTGTCGAATCCTACTGTAGAACATAAGTCCATAGGATGACGTCAGCAAATAGCGCTCGTCATGGGGACAGTCGTTTCAGTCACGCGAACAGTCGCACCTCTTCGTTAACATCTAGGGCGCATAGCGCGATAGTGATGAACAGGTACATTAGCGAATAGGTACTTTTCCTATAACTATAAATTATTGTTAGGCCTTTCCATTATTAACTTTTTATTACTCACAAGTTCACGTACTCAGGTTATTCAACCTTGACCTTTACATTTTACAAGACTTCCGCTGTCTTACTTGTCTACCATTCCAGTAAAGATCCTGGACCAACACTTGAGGATTTTCCAAGTGTTAGTGTTTGTAGTTTTATACTTAGTCTACTACAACATCAGACGATTTATTTCACTATCTATGTTTGGTTCTATTTTATTTGTAGTGCTGGTGCATTTCTCGCTGTCCATAAAAGCGAGTCTTATCATGTACTACACTTGTTTTCATCATGGCGAATTATGTGTAACGTCTCATTTCGATGGCCTATATACATGCATAATTATTGAAATAGCATATCAAGAGACTCAAGTTCAATGCAAGGTATGACTAACTTGTTACTACCACGTCCAATCGTAATATGAGTTGCTTCAGCCGAGCCTGTCCTCCTCAAACATACCGCATCCACGCCATTATCGAGAATATCCTCGATATTATTGCATTCCTGACTCTCCCAAATTCCCTCGAGAATACTCACCTGGTCAATCCCCTCGATATCATCCCCTTCCCCTTCCTTTCCCTCATCCTGAATCCCTCTTGCGTTTCGCTTCCCATTCTCCGCCTCCTCCTCCCGCTCTTGGTGCTTTGATTCCATGTCCACTGTTGCGGTCGCCTTGCCATTCGCTTCGTACCAGTTCCGTTTTCTCCTCGATAGTAGCGCGCCACTTAGGCTGAGTGTGATTCCCTTGGCTTCTTTTCCCTGTTTATTGTCTGCCGCCACGTAGGTTTCTTCAACCATGCGGATTTTCTTACACGTTGCGACGTCAGCACCTTTAGACAGCTGAGCCGGCTGTTCTCCAGTGATCTTACAACGCGTATCCCGTAGTCTGCGAAGGGCGGTAGAGATAGTAGAATCTGGAACTGGAAGTATTGGGGATGTCGGAGATGTGGTAACCCTGGTAACCCTAATTGCTGTCTCGTCGTGTAAGTTCTTCTGAGCGTCGATGCCACGTGGCGAAATCCCTGCAGGAAGCGCATCTTTCCCCGTCCGCTCTCTCCAATCAGCACCGTCGAATAGTAGAGCCGTTCGTGGCGAAGGGACTGGTGAAATGATTGGCGAAATGGTTGGCGAAGATAAACCCTCCACCATCATCAGCGAAGGTTTCGGGTGCGTATTGCGTTCCCTTTCAACATGTGGCATGACTGTATTGGAGCCAAATTCGAACCTCCGCTCGTTACAAGCACCTCTGGCAGGAGCACCTCCAGGGTTCTTGACAGTCCTCCTCTGCTGCAGCACCAACAGGCGAAGCCGTTGCTCCAGGGACGGGCGAGGCGAGAGGGGCAGGACGGGGAGGGGAGAGAGGGGGAGGCTCGGGAAGGGAGGAGGCAGGAGCTCTGGGCCGGAAGCAGGGAGGACATTGGGAGTCGCCTCGTGAAATAAGTGGACGGTTTGCGGAGAGGGAATGCTAACTGCCGGGGGAGATGTTGGTGGATTTTGGGGAGGAGGAGGCGGGATGATGAGCGAGAGACGAGGGGCGGTGATGTGTGCCGCTGGACATGGCGACTGTCCCCCTCTCTCGCCATGTTTAGAATGCAAATCGGCCCGCTCCGGAGCTGAGTTCTCCGGAGCTGAGTTTGCAGAGGCTGAGCTCTCCGAAGCTGAATTTGGCGAAGCTGATCTGTCCGACGTTGAGTTCGCCGAAGCTGAGCTCTCCGAAGCCGAGTTATCCGCACCTGTGCTGCGGAATGCTGCTGGCCATTTATCCTGTGGGCTGTCACTTCCAGTGCACAATGTGGGCTCGGCAGCTGTGCCGCCTTGAGATGTCCAAGTCATCGGCGTTGTTTCAATGTCGGGCCAGGAGCCATTACCACTGACGCTACTAACGCAGATATGGTGTACAGCACCTGATGCTTCCAGGAAAATTCCTGTGAAACCTTCGGAGGGGGGATGCGAAGGCCCTTGATATCCTTTCACTTTCAGAGAGGGAGAAGGGGGAGGTTTTTCTTCGTGGGCGGCTGGCTGAGAGCGGATGATCCCGAGGATCTCTTCCTGGCTCAGAATGTGCGTGTTGCTGAACCCAGAAGCGCGACCAATGTTGTAACAAGAGCTGTCACCAGCAACGTAACCGGAAGTGTTTCCTGACGTGTAAACAGGGGCTGAAGTTGCTCCAGATTCGGAATTCTTGCCAGCCCAAGGCTGAGCTTGGGAAGTGCACGCCGCGGGGCCCTCAATGCAGCGACACATGTTTGGCTGCGATGGACTGAGAGCGGCTTTTGTTACTCCGACAAGCGGAGAGTGGGTTCTTCCCACGGGATCCAGTCTGTAAAAAAGACCAGGCAAGCTAAACGCTCAGGCTGTTAGGAGGACGAGGCCTGTTAGAGAGGGCCAATGCTGTCAGTGGCAGTGCGCCGAATGCTGTCACTCCCTCGGGTTTTACCTTTCCTGGAGACGAGTGATGGGAAACCACTTTAGAACGTCCGACTCAGAAACGGCTCTGCGTTATGGTCGGCTTGAGAGGAAAGGGGGTGCTTTTGAAGTCTTGAAATGCGCGTGGCTGGTAAGAGGAATGCTGGAGCTTCCAAGACTTGATGTGAACACTGGGCACACCAGTGGAGTGGAAGGTGCACCCCAAGCAATTTGCCATATTGGCGAAAGAAAAAATAGGCCGGGTTCACGAAAACGAAAACGGTTGGAACCGCGTAACATTGGAGTGCAAGAAGTGAGAACGAGGCCTGTTGCGAGGAAGGGTGGCCGGATTCCTTTCGCCACGTTGGAAGGATTCGGTTTGCGGATTTGCTGGGGTTGGTGAGGTGGGCAGGATTCGCGAAAGTCAAACCAGTTGTCTTTTTGGCGAAGTGGGCAGGTTTCGCGAAGGTGAAGTGCAAGCAGGAATGCGCAGCTTTCGCGAAGCTGAAGTGCAAGCGGGAAACTTGGCATTGGCAGCCCAACGAATGGTAGTGTCGAGTTGGCGTGAGAGGAAATTTGGCGTGATGCTGGCTGTAGCTCTCCGTAACCAGTTGTCACGCTGTCGCTCATTAGCATCATGGGACCTTTCAGCAACCCCAGCTTACCTGTCAAGAATTACTGTAGATACAATTGGGAAAGTACATCGGCGCTCAGTATTAGGGGCCCCGATAATATGTACGGTCAGTGACGCAATAGAAACAATCAGAATTAGCGAGTTCGAAACATGTTTCATCAGTCGGGTTCCACGGTTAGTCAGAAACTGTAGGAAAAAAGTTCCACGAATGGTCAGTAGAAGTAACCCCCGCCCGTCTAGGAACGTTTTCCCGCTCGCGCCAGCCCAATTTCGTCATCATTGTGGCAGGCACGAAATTTCTCCCCAGCTACAGGCGCAGTTCGAGCGAAAAAACGTAATATACTCAAATTTGATTTTATTGGACACAAGTTATTCGAGAAACAAGAAAATACGATTTTGTTTCAAAACACGTACTTTCGTGGTAGAGTGTAGTGCGTTCCGTGAAGCTTAAGAATGACGGTTTTGTCTCTACCGCATTTACGCCCCCCCAAAAAGTCAAGCCTTAAACTTATCGCCATTCCCAAATCGCTTGAAAGAAAAACATATAATGAAAACTATGGAAATTTATTTTGGGAAACGAATATGTTTAAAAGTGCAGCAAAGTACACTCATAGCCGCACAAATTTTTTTATTAACTTAAGTACAACAAATCTTTTAGATTTCTGCCGGCTGTGGTTATAAATTTTCTCACAAATGAATTTACTGCAAAAACATTCCCGCTAATTCATGACTCTACAAGTCACGTCATGCTCGAAAAAAATTATCGCATGCACGGCACAGTAGAATCAGGGCTCTCGACATCAGACAAAATCCGTCTGTTTGTCTGATTTTCAGACTCTTTTTTAGGCGTTCCTCTGATTTTTTAGAAACCTATTTCTAGAATTTCTGATGCCCTAGAAACTGAATTATAGTCCTTCTGAATTTTCAGAATGTGTGTTCTTGTTCTTCTGATTCTACAGACTTAGCGAATACGTTCGTCTGAAACCGATTACTGTGAGGTTGCATCCAGCCCCCCCAAAATCCCCGCGTGTACAGCAAATCGCGCGACAGCACGCCCAGTGGGGCATCATTACTTACAGTTTCGGCGCCAGCACAACGTCGGTGAGACAAGCGCTGAGTCATATGTTGCTCACGGTGTGGCGCCGCAGTGGGCAATTGAGTCAGCCGTGTAGTCTCATTGGCCCATCCCCTTCCAACACACAATGACTCTCCACAGTTGCCCTCAGTGCATCCATGCATTGGCAGCATCTCTCTCCCCCATTGGCTTGTCCTGTTAGACAGGGCAGAGCCCCTCCTATTGGCTTGTCCTGCTAGGTAAGGCAGCGGAGCCTCTCCAATTGGCTTGTCCTATTAGCCATTGCAGCATACTCTCCCATTGGCTTGTCGCAACATGCATTCCTAGCTGGCCTCCCCACGAACCTTCGTCTTAGGGGAACACTCTAATCTACACCATTGAAACGGCTTGCGGTTCGATGCATGCTGAAAGAGAGGTGGGGAACTCCCTTTCTTCTTCACCCTTCTCTTCGACAAGCTCCCCTGTCCGCCAGTATGCCCTCGGTTCACAATCGTTACCGCACCCAGGTTAGACATGCCCCGTAGCGTATCTCACTCGTTTGCTGCGCCAATGAGTTTTAGATGGCTGGCAGCACCACTGATGACGGCGCCGCCGCCATAGCACAGCCTGTTCCTGCTACAGCACCCCTAATGAGGGGCCTGGATTTTCTACGCCAGCCTCCGCCTAGGCGAGAGACGCCAGAGGCCGTGCCCGCGCTAGCTGTTAGTTCCCCAGCCGTGCCTCTGCCTTTCTCTGACTTACTCCCGGACATTGATGCTGAGCCTTTGCTCGCATCCACTCCTGCTGCCTCTCCTAGCTCTCCCATTACTTCCGCGGGGATCCCTTCGCCTCCACTCTCAGTAGCCGCGATCCCAGCGCTGCCTTCAAGACTGCCCGCTGGAAGGTACACGC